CAGCTCTACCTACATTTCACCTATACATTGCATGAAACTTAAACATCACTCCATTCCAACCCTTCCCAAGGCTTACCCATCAACCCTAACACATTTGAAACTCTCCCAAGGCCAAAACAGTAAAACATCAAGGGCTAAACCCTTGGTGGCACCCCCACCATCTGCCACACAAGTTAGCATTATCAAGTAACATTCTGATAAATAACCTTGAATAAGTCAAACATCCTTAGAGGATTTCTATTGACCTCTTTCACTTAAGTTAGCATTATTCGGTAACACTTTAACAATTAATATTGGGTAGATCTTCTCTCAACTTCTTCTACATAGATTAACATATTCAAGTAATATTATAACAAATAACATCGAATATGTCAAAAATATGTCAAAAATCCATCATGGATTTTTTTCAATGTCTTACACAATGGTTTAAGATTTGGGGAGACACCTTATACTAACAACCTAAGAAAAATAAAATTTTTAAGAGAATTATACCATGGCTCTCCTTAGCACAAATAAGGAACATGGCCAAAATTATATCATTAATAAAACAAATCACTATCATAGTAAAACATCAATCATGCTTATATAAGAAAAAAAAGAGATGCAGGCATTTTAAAAGCATAGTTTCCTTCGAGATATAAGTTCTCAAAATATTGAATCACTATTATAAAATAATATTAAGATTTCACCAATTATCATCCTCAGTTTCGGCTACTTGATTTTAAACATCAGCTAAGCTTGTATACTACATAAATAGCATATATTTATAGCTTGTATAAATAAGAAGTCATATTTCAGCTCGTATAAATAAGAAGTCATATTTCAAGGTAGCATATAAAACCATTGAATATACATAATATCAACAAATTCTTTATCAACATCATATGAAATTTTATTAAGTCTTATACATCATTCAAGTTCTCATCTAAGCTTCCAATGGGTGCTCTCTTCTCCCTTGAAGTTTGTTGTAGCTTTCAAACGAGTTTCGCCTTGGTTGCGATAGTAAATGATTCCAATGGCATCAAAACTAACGCCAATGCTTAACATCACCAATGTTGAGACCCTATATACTATTTATGGAAATCCTCTTCTCACTTTAAGTAAATTTTTGAGAACCTACTTTCCAGCCAACTGTATAAAGTCACAAATGATTCTTATGGCATCAAAGCCAACGTCGAGGGGCTTAACATCTCCAATGTTTATATAAAACGTACTATCTATGAGCATTATCTTCTCTCTTGATATCAATTTTGTGATGAAGTAATCTGTCTCAGCTGTAACACATCTCAAGTGATTCTAATAACATTAAAGCCAATGCTTATGCTTGGCTATAATTTCTGAGAAAAAACTACAAAAACAGACCATGATTACCACCAAATCTCATCCATCCAATCAGGACAATCAACACTTCTATAAAGAGAAAGTCAAAACAGCACCATAATGAATAATAGTCTTGATCACCTCCAAATCTAGTCCATCTAACGAGAACAATCAATACTTATTTCAAGAGAAGCCTAAGCCTTACCAAATTAGTTGAAAGTCATGATCGCCTACAAATTTGGTTGGCCAATGATGACAGTTAATGCCTTTTTCAAGAGAGAATTACAGCCTCATTGTAGGCACTATAAATCTTCACCATCACTAAATTTGGTCCATCCAACAAGGACAACCAACACATTTTTAAGAGAAAACCGAAGTCTCACCATAGGGACTATGTGCCTTGATCATCTTCGGATATTTTCCACACTTTATGAGGTAAAAGACACAACCTGCTAATAGAATATGGCACTACGAACCGAATCCTTCCAACAAGGATATTCAAGAAAAATTGGAGCCTCGTTGCAGGAATTACAAGTCCTGATTACCTTTAGTACTTTTTAAACTCCCGTTGCATAATTTTTTTGCTCCTTACGAGGAAAAATCAAAGCCTACTAAAGAACCATAGCTCTCTTCTAACCTTAAGGGAATATTCATGGATCCAAGAGAGAAGACATATTTGAAATAATTTTAAAGATTTTTAATGATCTTTTCTTTTATTTATTTTCTTTTGAAAATAAATTAGAAAATGAAATAAATAAGATTATATTTAAAAAAGTCAAATCCGCAAAGGCTCAAAAGCCTACTGACACTGTGTACACTATTTCGTGCAGAAAAAACGCTCAAATTTGGGCTTCAATAATTAAAAAAAATTAAGGAAAAAAAATCAAAGTAGCTCTATAAGCATGCGCTGACGCTCTTGCTAGTTCCCATTGACTTACACAACTCTCCTTGGCCTATTGGTTGAGAGCTAAGGCTTCCAACTAAGAGGTCTAAGGTTCGAGTCTCTGTGTATGCGTTGTGTGTGTGAGTTTGCCTTAAATGGCCTAAATGTCCCAAAAAAAAAAAAAAAAGTTCCCATTGACTTCAATTGGTTGTACAGCATGCCTATCTCAAGCATGGCCCGAATAAGCATATTCTTGCACTTTTTTAAGTCCATGGGAATATTTTTTCGGCATTCTAAACTAAATTTTATCACTTACGAAGCTAGAAAAATCCAATCAATTTCGATAAACACGCTAACTTCATGAAATGCTAAAATTATAATTAACGAGAGTTAACTAGTTTACAGCCTCGAGGAGATGTCCATATTGATGTTCAGGTAGCAATCATGCCTTGTAACTTTTTGAAATTGTAATTTTGCATCACAAAATTTTTATAAGACTTAAACATATATTTTTGGACGACACAGGATATAATACCCGAATATAAGGAGATAACTAATACATCATCAAAAAACAACCTATCGGGCACGAATCTAGATGTATTTTGAATTAAAACTTCCAAAATCAAATTCAAGTTTATCTGAACTCCAACTTCAACAAATTATAGTCAAACTGAAAATTTCGGTGAGAAATTGATTGACATCAAAAGTGATCTAATATGACTCCAAATAAGCCAAATCAAATACTTAAAGCACAATAAAAACTTTATAACACTAACTGAATGATCAAACGATTTTCAAATGTTACATGCTTATAGTCAAATCGAGTGTCTTGATGAGACGAATCAAATGAGCCAAAAATCAACTAATTCCGACATAATCATGACTTGTAAATGCTAAAAGAATGTTCTATGATCCAATTATTCAACAAGAGTCATCCGACGAAGTGTTTCAAATTTTGGATATATTAATGAGGCATACCACTCTCAAAAATTCATAAATAAACCCACTCTCTATATAAAAGGGGGCTTAGACCTTAGTGTGAATTCACGAGTTTAGAAACAAAATCTTGGAGATCTACCACACGCACCATCACCGGGCCATCGCTCAACCACCAACATCAAACTACCGGCATCGGACCATCGCCAAACCTCCGCAATCGGACCACCACTTCATTATCGCCAACGAACCATCACCCACCATCACCAACAAAATGTTGCTCAATAACCATCGTCGCCATCCAATAATAACCATCACCACCTTCATCAACAATGAACATTTAATCACCATAGCCCAACTACTATCCTCCTAAAACAGTTTTCTAACTCCAATCCTCCGACATCATTGCTCAATTATGATCTCCCAATCACCATTGCTCAAATATAATCCTCCAATCATCATCACCTAATTATGATCCTCCAACCACCGTCCCTAAATACGATCCTCTGACAACCATCCCTTGACTATGATCCTCTCTAACCACTGTCTCTTGGCTACAATCTTCTTACAACCACCACCAGACTATAAACCTCTGACCATCATCAATCAAGTACAGTCCTCTAACCATTATTCCTTGACTACATTGATGTCCATTGACTTCATCATCTATCATCACCAACCAAGTCAACACAAACCATTGTCTATAAAGTTGATATACATTATTGACAGTAACTCTCACTCGGGACATTGGCACCATAATTAATAATAGACTTCTTGGTCTGCAGTCTCCCCTCCTCAAAGGAGTACGACCAAATAAATAACAAACGATCTCTTAAAAGCAGCACTTGTGTCGGACTCTTCCAACTTTCCCCACAAAACACGTTATATACATTGAATGTCCACTATATTATATTACTACTTTCCTCAATCACGAGAAGGGAAATATTTGTAACAAATGATAAATACTAATAAAATCATTTAAACTAGTCAAAGTCCCATAATTTTTCTTTTTTCTTTTACACATAAAAATTCAAACGTCCCTTAAAACTTGTGATATCTATGTGTATGTTGGATTATGATGCACCAACACTTCTCCTCAAAGAGATATGTATGTCTGACATGTACAAGACACGACACTTGTCAAACACATTGAACACGTGTCTGATTTAAAAAATATTAGAAATAAATTAGAAACATATGTATGACATGCGTGCCTTAAAATTTTCTGAAAAATATTTATTATACTTTTTTTGCATTTAAAATTTTTATTTATTTAAAAAATAAAAATCAATTTCTTACGTCCTCTCCATAGCTCTAAATCAATCGCTCGCATTCAATGTCACAACATTCTCGTTTTATTTTTTCTCTGGCGGTTCACGACTAGGATTTCACAACAACATTAAATGTCTTCTCAACATCAACGACTGACACCATCACAACATCAACGTTTCAAAATCCTCTCAACATCGAAGTATGACGTTGTCTTGACATTGATGTTATATGCCAGTAATTTCTATAGCCACAACCATGCCCTCACACCATCTCGATATCCCATTTTTATCTAACGTCATCTCAACATCAACGACTGACGTCATCTCAACATTGACGACCGATGTCATCTCAACATTAGCGCCTGATACCCATTGCAGAACATTGATGCTCAACTCTCAACACATTATAATCTTCCTTCTCGATATCTAATAAATAACATTAATATTTGACTCTTGAAATTCCAATATTAATCATTTTAAACAAATATCCTAACTAAATGATTTATTATTTCTTAATTATTCTTAACATTTTGTTTATACAATTCCTATAAACTATTATTAAAATATAAAAATAATAATTTTTTATCTAACACAAATCCATATCCTATAATTTTAATAATTGACATATCCCATATCCATATCTATATATCATAGATGCTAGATCTCAATATAATGCTAGATATTAATCTCTCTTATAAGCAATAATCATCATATATATTCAAGCGTATGGGCATCTTTTCAAAAAATGCAATACTAAATAAATGCTTTCTCACTACTTATGTCGGAAAAAGGAAAAGCAGCTATCATTTTCAGTTTGGAAAATACGCGATCCAGATGTAGCTATAGGGATATTCTCCTATGTGGGCGTCCTGTATGGAATGTGGTTGGCCGGCAAACCCATGTGCCGGTTTACTAAGTAGTTGGAATTTTAATGATTTAAGAGAGAATATTTTCAAGGGAACACTCATGGTCCCCAGTCTCCAGACTCCAGAGTCACGTGTTCTTAAGTGTACGATAATTAATCCCTCTGATTCCTCTGGACATACACCAGATGCTTCACGGCCAACCATTTATCAAATCTTAGGGAGCTCAATGGAGACTCGAAGATTTTCCTCGGCTAATAGTATGTGGAGATGAGATCGATGGAGCTGAGCTCTTCCAAGGGTCTTGCGGTGGGTAGAAACCAAGGATTAATGACTCTTTGGGAAGGTGGATTTAGGTGGAATTAGGGTTTAAAATTAAGCAGGATTTGGGGGGTGAGGGGACAATTTTATTAGGATTACAAGCATTGCGCAAATCACTGACCTCACAGGCAGCGGCGGCGCAATGACTCCGCTCGATTCCGAGAAGTCGAAAATCGCATCGCTTTTCTCGTTCAACTGCGGTTGCAGAAACCCAAAAGCCGTCTCGGTTTCAGCCTTGATTTCCAAATCATCTGATAGATCAACAACACCACGACGAAGACAAATGGATATTTCATCTTCTTCCGGCGACACGCTAACGACGGCTTCTTCTTCAATCCCCGAAAGGGATCTGGATCATGATGAGAAGAATGAGGCTCCAGCAACCCTCTCCGATTTGCTGCGGGAGCTAAGCGAACTGGAGCAGAGCGTCAAGGCTTGTGGGATCGATCGTGGGTTACCGGCCGCGAAGAAGGCGGGTCCAGAGTGTTGGCGGAAGCATAGGAGGAGTCGCAGCGAGGGACGAGTGGCGGAGAGCGTCGCAGTGACGAAGGATTCGGCGGATCCATTGGGTGATTTCAGGCAATCGATGCTTCAGATGATCGTGGAGAAGGAGATCGTCGGCGTGCCGGAGTTACGGGAGCTTCTCCTGCGATTCTTAGCTCTAAATTCACCGAGATACCACGGAATAATTCTTCGAGCATTTGGTGAGGTCTGGAATGAAGTTTTCTCCGGCTATGAGAACACCCCCGACTTCCTTGGTACGATTGATACGCCAGTTCGATGCCTCTCACAACGCACTCTGCCTCATCGCCGTCGCTATTGATCATATTCCGATTTCCAAATTTCGTTACGTGTACAGATGTGTGAAATCGCTGGTTATATAGGGTTTTTTTTCACATTTTTTTAGTTAATGTTCTTTGATCCTGATGAAATTTGGGGAATGAAAGGACCATGATCTGCAAAACTTTGGCGAACAAAGGAATTTTTCTTGTGCGGATAAAAAAAAATGCCTTGCTCCAATAAACCAATTACCTGAAAGCACAAGATTGAATCGAAGTGGTTGTCAAAGAGATCATCAGCTCATCCAGTCCATGACGGCAGGTTGCTGGTAAGTTTGTTGAGTTGCGAAATTCCATTCTTTCAATCGACTGATATTTGCACCAATTTATGTGGAAGCCATTGCATTTTCCTCTGTAAATGGAAAATTCATCTTGATCAAAACTTTAGTTAGGCTATGTAAATCTAACCCTTTTTTTTCAGTTGAATTCCGTAACAAAATTTCAGAGTTTTTGACATCTGGTTTTCGGCTCATTTATCATTTAATCCGTCCTCATGCAGGAGAGGGCTTCAACAATATGATGATGTGTGAGAAGTCTGAAGATTTATGCATGATGGGTGAGATGATATTAGTACATTTCTAGGTGTTTAACAATTAAGGTTAGGTGAATTTACATACTTGAAACATGCTTGGACCGTCATATTATAGGAACAATTATTACGTCCTCTGACCTGACGTAGAGCTACGTTCGGCCGCCAATAACATGTCGCCACGTGCTCTTACTCTTTACCGCGCGGCCCGACGACTTGACCCGTAGCGGAACCCGGTAATGCTATGTTCGCGATTTTCTCGGTATTTGCTCGGTATTTGCTAGGTATTGCTTTGCAAAAATGAGAAATACCGCTATGTGAAGACCAATACCATGCAAATACCGAGTTGTACCGAGTTTTTCTACAACTCAGTACAACTCGGTACAACTTGGTATTTGCTCAGGATTTGCTCGGTATTGCTAGAGATTTGCTCGGTATTGATTGCTAGGTATTTGCTCGGTTTGCTAGAAAAAACTAGGTACAACTCGGTATTTGCTCGGTATTGCTAGGTATTTGAAATATATCCAAAAGGTGATGGGATGTTGTTCGGCTCGTCAAGGATTTAAAAAAACGCACGTGCGAGAACCCAAAAAACAGCAGGTCGGGTCGGCGTCTTTTCTTCATGCTAGGTGGCACTAAAACATTGGTGGCCGAACGTAGAGGACCGTACGTTCACTGGACTGAATAAAAGTTCTATATTATAGTGAGAAGAGTTAGGCGTAACAAATTTAAATATTTGGGACCATTGTATGGAAAAATAAATTTAAATTTACATTTAAATTTTTGAGTTAAAATTGAATGATTAAAATAAAAAAAAATGCCTCAAATGTGACGTGAAAAGATAATATTATAGAGACTTAGATTTCGTTTTGGACGATTTTATTACTGCTTAAAGCAACTTTTTATTACAAAAATTTAAATTCAAAATTTTTTTTAGTAATAATTGTTTCACAAAACAATATAAAAACTATCCCAAACAAACATGCAATGTTCTATGTATCCTAGGTGTAAAAAACAAGAATATTAAAATAGATATGTATCAAATTTAATAAATTTAAAATGATTATATTAAAAATATCTATTTAAGTGAAATCTATTAAAAATAAGATGGCTGAATTTAATGATCAAACAAGCTCAAAATCAACTATATGTTAAGATTGAAAATAAGTGAGATCCATTAAAAATAAAGAATGACCATAAGATTTAAAATTAGTCTAAAACTAAGAAAACCGCTCAAACTCAACTACATGATTGTTTTAATCATGATAGTACGAACCAAAATTCATTGGAGCTATAAATGAATAAACCCTTTGTTCATTGTCAAATAATTGTTTTGATACTAGAGGAGAGTGGAATACTTTGGCTCCAAATTGAATCCAATACACTAAGAGATGAACACACATGTAATCAAAGATTAAGGCTTCATCGGGACGGCTTTCTTACTTCTTAAAGCAATTTTCTAATACAAAAACCGTCTCAAACGAAGCCTAAGTCAATAGACAAGGTTCGACATTATAATGGAGAACCATTCAGCAGCGCCAATCCCAAAGCTCAAGCATAAATTTAAGCTTTGTTTAAGACAGCTTTCTTTACTCTTTCTAATACAGCTTTCTACTACAAAAATTTATAGTTGAAAATAATTTTATACTAAAAAGTTGTTTTAAAAAGCATTAAGAAAGACATCCCAAACGAAATCTTAATCACCCAATTTAGATTACCATTGGCATCAATCTCAAAGCCATCATCACATATTTGACTATCTTATTCATTTCTCCAACAAGACTAATCTCAAAGCATGGTCTCCTTCAATCTATCTATTATCACCAAGGACATGATAATCCAAATATAGATCTCAATGACTACATGGCATGATTCACCATCATTCAATCGACTGAGGATGCACCCATCATAGTTCTCAGAGGTAGCACAAACTCATTTATTCATTGAATGTCTCACCAAGATATGAAAATACTTATCATTTAAATGCATATAAAAATCATCTAGGGGAAGGGTAAATATATTCTCTCAAAGGAGACTACTAAATCATTTTCAATCATTTCTCTAGCGTTTAAAGTTTTTTTTTTCTTTGAAAAATTAAGGTCATAGCTTAATTATATTAATTATAAAAAAATGACAAATGACAATTCATAAAATAAAATAAAATAAAAATAAACAGAGGAAAAAAACAAGAAAAAGATGAATCTACCCGGTGGCAAAGATCTTTGAAGCCTTGAGTAAGAAATGACCTTAACCCACTGAGACTTAGGGTGGTGAGCCTGCATTAGAAATGGTATGTTTCAGAAAAATCACTCGGAGGCTTTTGATTAAATTAAAGACAAACTCATACACAAATCATATATGCAAATTTCGAATCCAATACCTCTCCGTTCATAGTCAAAACTCCCAACTAATAGATTAAGATGAGCTGCATAAATACTATCGACCTCGGCATAAACACTATCCTACTAATTTCCAATAAATTACACATCGATGTTTACTATTACAACAACAACAACAACAAGCCTTTATCCCACTATGTGGAAGATGTTTACTGCCGTTGCCAGGTCTCAAATTCTGGATGAGAAAAGTGGAGGATTGCATTAAGTAGTCGACAGCCAGCGTAAAATTTTTTGAATAATCATGACACGATGTTTACTATTAAAAAAAAAATCAACCACCCCCAACCACTTTTCAAGGCGCAATAGCTCTTCCATGCAGTTTACAATAGCTATAACCATATTAACCCTTTTTTATCATTGTTTTGAGCCAGAGATCTGGTTCAAGGATCTAATAATGACTTCTCTATTGAACTACTCAAATGTGATGTAGGAATTGAAAAAGGAAATTGAGCTATTTTAAATTTCAACCATTTAAATATATGAATAAGGTCAAAGACGTATAAAGACAAAGGCTATCTCCTATTCTTTAAAAGATGAAGTTCTCTCTCTGCGCCAAAAATTCTTACAGCTGATTGGAAATGAAATGATTGTTTAATTTTGACAAGGTCGAATGAGAATAATCAACTGGACAAGTAAGAGAAGGAAATCTTACTAATCATACCAGCTAAGTCTTCGTTTGGGACGGTTTTTTTATTGCTTCTTAAAACAGCTTTCTAATTTAAAAATTACAATTTTTATACTAAAAAACTGCTTCAAGAAGCAATAAGAAAGATGTCCCAGACAAAGCCTAAATTAGAACCCATCAGAGCACGCAAGTAGCACCAAAAATTGAATCAATTCCACATAAACCCAGTATAAAAAATCCAGTTTTTGATCACCAACTCATAACTCTACACAAAAAGCCAAGAAAACAAATAAATATATATATATTAAAGACAGCATCACAGAACTAGCAATTTACTACTACAATTACCCGGAAGAAGCAAAAGAGAAATGCAGAGATTTTTGCCATGCTTACTTCTTCTTGATCTGTGCTCATCTTAAAGAAAGGAGCTTTGAACGAAACCTAGAATCTTTGGAGATAGTGGCCTAAGTCCTCGTCAATTTTCTTTCAGCCAATACAATTCCCTATTTTTTGCTCTAGCCGGTAAGCAATTAACCAACCGGTAAGCCATTAAGGTCACTAAGATCATGTGTTCATGTGTGATCTCTACGAGCCCTTACTATATTACTATATGGAATGAGGCGGTCCTCTTAGGCGTAGCTAGGCCAGTAGCGTGCACGTTTGCTGAAACGCTTGAGTGCAAGGTTTAAAATTGCGTAATTGGGTATTGAGGCGTTTTTCGTTCGTGACGCGAGGGGTAAGCCTGAAAGTGTTTTGAGGCGTAAGCCTCAAAATCTAAAAATTGTGTAAAGTCAAAATAAAAGTTATAATTAATTTTTTATATAATATCCAAATAATATGTTAAAGGATGACATATTAACTTTTTATTAAACTATGAAGTAACAAATTTACATACACATGAAAACAAAAAAAAAATGCATAAGATGTAAAGTGTTAAGTGATAAATTTGTGAAATAGAATTGAAATTTAAATATTACATAAACAGAACAACATAAAATATATGATGTAGAACAGGAGGGCTAGCTAGAGAGGGGGATAATGATTTGAGGAAATTAAAGACTTGCCAACATAGGAATTTTACTTAAGGAGATTTAACTTAACTCCTAATTAAAATTAAAATGAGCTTGATTTGAGGGGGGTTCCAAAAATAACTTATCTTATTTTAGAAAGGGATTTCATATTCAAAATATATTGGAATATGAAATTAAGAACCTAATAAATGGAAAGTATTAAATGGAGGATTTAAATTTTGGAGGCAACGAAAAGGGAGATTTGAATTTGAATCTTCTCCAAATAAAGGAGAGTGTGAGAGGTGGGCCGGCCCCTTGATGGGGATTGATGGGGGTGAATTGATTGTCTTCTTTAATGGAAATCACAAATTAGGAAATGATTTAAGGTCCTTTCAAAATATAAAATTTAAAATTAAATTCATGGGAGGGAAAGCCTTCTTAATTAATTCAAAATATAAGGGATAATTTGAATTTCAAATCAAATTTTAGGGTTTCCCAATATTC